AGATCCGCACCTTCTTGGGGGTTTCTAAGTGCACGTTCATGCCTATCTCCGCCCGTAACTTGTCTGGCAGGTACCTCAGAACCTCTCGTTCATCTTGTGCTTTCTTGTTAGTCCACAGGAAGTCAAACCACTTGATGACACATATGCATGTACTGCTTGATGTTATCGATCCTGGCTTGAAACTGAGCCTGGGCCGCGTTCATATTTGAGATCATTGTAGCAATGTTACCCACAATGGTGGCAAAGATCAAGACACCCACCAGAAAGTCAACCACATGAAAGAGGAATTCAGAGTCTAGCTCTGGAGACGGCGTCTCTCCGATGGTGGTGAGGGTAAGAGTGGACCAGTAGAGGCTGAAGGAATACTTTCGCATCAGCTCTCCGAACTCGTCTTCTGTGAGAGCGGGATACACCCATGGATCTGAGCCGAACCCAATGGCCTTGGAGAAGGAGAAGTAGAGGCATGCGTTCCAGTGGATGATGATGATGATATACATGATCAAAGTGCAGATTCGGAAGATGTTGGGGTAGTTGGTCATGGTTTCTGAGATTGTGAAGAACTCAAACATGCGGTTGAGGCGGAGCAACTTGTTTATGCGGATCTCTGGGTAGTCTAACCCTAAAACGAAGTAGGAGATGTCCGTGGGTAGCATAGAGAGCATGGAGACTGTCTTTATACCGCTGAAGAAGGAGCTTTTCATCTTTGACTAGTAAGCCCTGTTCCAGGTAACCTGGTTAAAGAAAGGTGGAATGAAAACATGACACAAATCGGTCACTAAAACTTGTCGCTTCATTAAAGAGAGACATCTGATCGCACTACTGATGTTAGATCAACATGTTCGTGCCCTGAAGGCCATGTCAGCCAAATAAAGCAGGTCGGAGGTGTAGTCCAGGAGGAACCATATCAGGAGATAATTGTGCTGCAGCTCCTCAAAGCAGGCTCTATGCAAAGAGACACAATTTAAAAGCTCTCAAAAGCATTACACCCATTTATCAAGCTTCCAAAAGGTACATATAACTGAATATATTGCCTTCATCATATTTATTAGAGAATATGAATGACTAACGGAGACGTAAGGAAGCATACTTCAGAGGTTAATAAAAAGGAGATATCTTCTATTTGTATTCTTCTCTCATCTCCTGGTATCCTCATCTTATTAAAACATGAACATTTAATTATTACCTTGCAATTATAGCTGTCCAATTGTACATGACAGGAATTGTGATTATAAGCAGCCATTGATAGTACAGGAGTCCTGCTGGGTTAATCACAAACACCTCCTTAGGCCTTGAGAAAATTAAGTTGACATGAGCAATAATCAATGGTGATAACTTTGAACTTTGGAAAATCACAGAGTAGAAATGACGGATTAAAAGTCTGATGCCAACCCCTCCTTTTTTTTCTTTCTCCTTTTCCTTTTCCTTTTCCTTCTCTTTCTCCTTTTCCTTTTCCTTTTCTTTCTCATTTTATTTTTATTTTTCATCCTTTTGCTTCTTCTCTGTTTTTTCTTTCTTCTCTTTCTTTTCTTTTTTCCTATAGGATAAGACAGCAAAATATCTAAACAATCTTTATATCCAAACTATCTCGGTTAAGAAACATTTGGTATGCCACTTACTCTTTCTCCTCCTTCTTTTCTTTTTTCTCCTTTTTCTTTTTCTTCTTGTCTTCCCTACAGAGAGCAAAATACTCCACTGTCACCTAATGATACATTACTGTATATATATATACATACATACATACATACATATTATATTTATATTATATTTATTATATTATATTTAATGATCTTTGATTTCTCTTCATTGTTGTTGCTGTTGTTTATGTTAAATACCCGTCCTGCACTTGGAGCTGGAATTGGGTCTTCACTGTCCTCCTCTGTGTCCACTTCCATTATTGGAGACATTTGAGGTGGGACTGCAATACCTCCTGATGCAGGTACAACAGTCATGATTCCTTTTCCACTAAAGCAACAGACTAAAGCAGTGATTTATAATTTACACATGTTCCCATTTGTTAAAAGTCACGAAAAAATCTACAATGGGCAAAATGTTACTCTAAGAGGGCGAAAATTGCCATAAATTCAGATCAAAAACTCACCAACTGTTTTGCTTTAACCTAAATCCTGTCCCATTCTCTCTTGATCAGAAGATCCGCAGAGCCCCTTAGAATTACAGACCTTCTGTCTGGTGAAATGAAAGATACAGTCAAATTACAGCGAGTGTTTTCAAAGGAGGAGTACGCTTGTGGTTCATTTGTTCTGTTGTGCTCTGTAATGATATCTCAGACTTGCATGGCCCTGAGAAGGATTTGAAGATTAATGAGAGACTAGAGTGACAAAGACAAAGCCTCCTCCCTGCCTTCTTGAATGGTACATAATTTATACTCCCTCCAACAAAAGTTCAAAGTATTGGTGAGACCCGTCATTTATACAATTACACTGAGAATTTTAGCAACCTGTTGTTTTTATAATTGTTCCATATTCAGAACTAATTTTATGTTCATGTTTAAATGATTTCACCAGAGTGCCTCAAGTAAGCATTATGTGAATGATCACATTTGTTTGTGGTATTTATTTAACTGTAATTTCATTGTACTTATGCTGTCGCAACATTATAATGGTGTAATTTATGTGCATGTGCTTGCTAGACTGTGAGCCATAGAGTGAGAGATTTTCCTCATGTAGTAGCATCTGCCCAGTCAGCACTCTTGCAGAGATCTGCTAAAACAAGCCTGCCAGCCTTACTTTCACAGCCACCCACAGGATGTGTGTTTTGAACAGGATGAAGATGTCCAAATTTTTCTTATTTTGTTGAAATATCATTTTTTTTCCATTTAGTACTGCCCTTCGGAAGCAACAGAAGATACTTGTATGTTTCCTGGAAGACAAATTAAGTACAGCCGTGGCCAAAAGTTTTGAGAATGACACAAATATTAATTTTCACAAAATCTGCTGCTACAGTGTTTTTAGATATTTTTGTCAGATGTTACTATGGTATACTGAAGTATAATTACAAGAATTTCATAAGTGTCAAAGGCTTTTATTGACAATTACAATAAGTTTATGCAAAGACTCAGTATTTTCAGTGTTGACCCTTCTTTTTCAAGACCTCTGCAATTCGCCCTGGCATGCTGTCAATCAACTTCTGGGCCACATCCTGACTGATGGCAGCCCATTCTTGCATAATCAATGCTTGGAGTTTGTCAGAATTTGTGGGTTTTTGTTTGTCCACCCGCCTCTTGAGGATTGACCACAAGTTCTCAATGGGATTAAGGTCAAAATTTAGCCACATCACTTTTGCCTTATGGCAAGGTGCTCCAGCATGCTGGAAAAGGCATTGTTCCTTACCAAACTGTTCTTGGATGGTTGGGAGAAGTTGCTCTCGGAGGATGTTTTTGTACCATTCTTTATTCATGGCTGTGTTCTTAAGCAAAATTGTGATTGAGCCCACTCCCTCCCTTGGCTGAGAAGCAACCCCACACATGAATGGTCTCAGGATGCTTTACTGTTGGCACGACACAGGACTGATGGAAGCGCTCACCTTTTCTTCTCCGGACAAGCTTTATTCCGGATGCCCCAAACAATCAGAAAGGGGATTCATCAGAGAAAATGACTTTACCCCAGTCCTCAGCAATCCAATCCCTGTACCTTTTGGAGAATATCAGTCTGTCCCTGATGTTTTTCCTGGAGAGAAGTGGGTTCTTTGCTGCCCTTCTTGACACCAGGCCATCCTCCAAAAGTCTTGGCCTCACTGTGCGTGCAGATGCACTCACACCTGCCTGCTGCCATTCCTGAGCAAGCTCTGCACTGCTGGTGCCCTGATCCCACAGCTGAATCTACTTTAGGAGCCGGTCCTGGCAC